TATATATATATATGATGTGTGATATGTACAGTTACCGTGATATAAACACAATAAATATGTGTGATATGTACAGTTACCGTGATATAAACACAATAAATACATAAGATATCATACCACCCACCCCTTGTAGACAGTTACATGGAAGAGGTTTTAAAAATCTTTATATTTCCCTCAAACCTCATACCATTTGCTAAATTGGTTTAATAATTTAGACCAAAAGAGTCAGAATGTTTTTTCTTTCCGTGTCTCTGTGGGACACTTAGTCAACAAGTAGAAATGATTTCAGCCAGCAGACCATTACATTTTTACAGATCTGGATGATTTGTAGAGCTGTTTGCTTTGTAAGTCTTTAGCTTTAGCTAACAGCAATCCTCTGTTTGGACTCTGGGGGACAATTCCATACTCTGAGACTTCAAAAGATGAAACTTTTTGTTCTAAGAGTGCAGGCCTGTCTGTAGTACAGAGCCAGTCAAAACAATGGTTAGGAAATTAAATTAGATGATTTCTTTCAGTTGATTTATTAGATGGAATTAGATGTTTTAATCAAGCAGCTCTGTGTATACTCTGTATATGGTATAACTAATCTCATACCATTTTTTTGCTATGGAGATTATTGATAAATTGTGTGGCTTGAGGAGATTGTTTCATTTACTGTATTTACAGTCAAAAACACACACACACAAAACAAAAAAGCCTTAAAAGTAGCCTTACATTGACCCAAGTCATATCAGGCCAGAATATCATAGGGACCTAAAGGTGGGCTCTTTTGACCTGCGCCAGTAGGCACCTAGCAACAACTCCGAACACCCTAGCAACTGCACTAATATTCTCTCATATCACCCTAGCATTTTGATAGCAAGTTTTGTATGGGTAACAACCACAACCATTTTCATCATACCATTAGCATTATAGATTTACTTATGACATGGAGACTGTCAGCATGATCATGTTACTTTTAAAGACATTTTGGTCAATTGCAAGGTAGCGTGGTATTCTGTGTATAATGCAGTCCCATAATGCTTTGAACTCAGTTCAAGATGGCTAAAAAATAGGTTAGAAATAATATTATTTCATTATCAAAATTATATTTCAGTCTAATTAAAATAAGTTGTTCAGTCTCATTAAAAATAATCCACTTTTTTATTCATTTACTCTCTATTTACACTACTATTCAAAATTTTGGGATCTGTTTCCAAAGGAATTCTCTTTTGTCTGCATTTAGTTGATAAATAATACAGTAAAACAAGTGTTATTACAATTTAAAATAGCTGGCTTATTGTTTTTCCACATATTTTAAAATATAATTTATTCCTGTGATGGTAAAGCTGAATTTTAAGCAGCCATTACCCTTGTCTTTGCTGTCACATGATCCTTCAGAAATTATATTAATTTGGTGCTCAATATTTCTTATTATTATCAATGCTGGAAATAGTTGCGCTGCTTAATATTTATGTGGAAATGGTGATACACTTTTTTTTCTTTCTAAAAGTTCAAAAGAAGAGCATTCATTTGAAATACAAATATCACTTTTGATTAGTTTAATGCATCTTTGCTGGATAAAAGTATTACCGTTAAAAAAACTAAAAAAAACAGGCAGTTGTTTATGTAGGCAGTAGATAGCAAAGCAGAATAAATCCCTAAATTGTCTTGTTAAAAAACACTGCCATATTTTGAGGCTTACACCAATGCATTCCACCCTCCTATATTACACCTCCAGACACAATGCTTCTCTCAGAAATGTGCATATTATAAGCCAGAGATGAGGCTTGCACGCCAGCGCATGTTCCTCTCAGTCCAAGACATTGAGTAATGGGGAGGACCAGCTAAAGCAATCTGTCTTCTCCACAGAGCTGCCCTCTTTCCCTTATGACATCTCTCTTCTCTACTGTGATGGGGAATCCATGGTCCTCAACTGGAAGCAGCCCCTCCATTCTGGAGGAGCAGATGTCACTGATTATTACATTGACAAATGCAATGTGGCCAAGAAGACATGGAAGGAGGTCAACGTCCCACCCATTAAGGAAACACTGCACAAGGTGGCCATGTATTGCAGCATCATGTCCATGTTATTGTTATCAGCTTATATTGATCGATTTATAATATGCATAACATAATTACTAAAATGAAATTTTTCTTCTGAAGGTTGGAGGTCTGACAGCTGGGTCAGTGTATCAGTTTAGGGTCTATGGAGCTAATTTGACTGGACTGGGTGATGCCTCGACCCCTAGCGCTCCCTTCAAATGCAAGGCTTGGACCATGCCTGAGCCAGGTAATGCGACGTGCACATAGTTTTACTTCTAAAATTCTAACACTATTTACAAATGTTCATGTCATTGAACACCCGTATGCTGCTGTTTGTTCTGTGTAACACAAAAGAAGACATATTAAAAGAGTCATATGATGTATTTGGTTTAATGAAATGTGTTTATGCGGTTTAAGGTTAAAAAACACACTATTTTCCACATACTGTACATTATTGTTGCTTCTCTATGCCCCGCCTTTCTGAAACGCGTCGATTTTTACAAAGCTCATCGGTCTGAAAAGCGAGGTGTGCTCTGATTGGCCAGCTATCCAGTGCGTTGTGATTGGCCGAATACCTCAAGCGTGTGACGGAAATGTTACGCCCCTTACCATACTGTGATGCCCTTTGTCAGGCCGGAGCGACGATTCAAAAACATGAAAACCCATTATAAACGAGGCATTTGTTGCATCCAGTGGGGACATAATTATGGATTATAATGACTTATACTGTCTTTTTAAGCATTGCAATGCATTGCATTGCATCGCGCCGCGTAAACATAAAATCATGTCTGCATTTGTGATCGGAGAAATGACAAACAACAAGCGCTACTCTACACTGCTCAAAACTCGCGTTTGAATCATCAGTGGCAAATCCTTTAAATATGAAAACGTACTTACAGTCTGTGAGTCAGAACAGCCGGCATTGTAGGCGACTCTCCCAGGATCAGGAAACAGTCCTCCATAAAATGCGCTTTTGGAAGGCCAAACAAAGTATTTTCGCTTTCGCAATGAAACACACAGCGTCTTCACAACATGGCGGGACCTGTGGCAGCAACAATAAAGTTACGCCTTCTTTCTTTGCATGAACATTTGGGCAGTGTTATGCAAATCTTCCCACATCTTGACGTAGACATGTAGGGGCGTGTTTAAACAAGGCGTTTTAGGAGGGTGTGGACCAGTCTTAACTTTCATAAAAAATATCTCTTTGGGTTTGAGACTTTAGTCTTTGCAACTTTAGGGATCTTGTCTATTCACAAACAGCTTATAACACTCCAAAGAGAAAGGAAAACTTGAAATCGCATCATATGACCCCTTTAAAGAATCTTCCATCAGCTGTTTTCTATACAGCTATACAGATATTTATTTTCCTTGGGAAAAAAAAAGTAGAATAAGCTGGAAATTACCCCACTATAATGTAAATCTATAAATAAAACAATGAAAAACAATGGCATTTTTGCTTTTTTGACAAAACTTTGTCTGTGTTAACCAGCTATTATCCTGGTGAGCAGAACTGGTATCACTTTATAATAAGGTTCCAAGGTTCCAACATAAACTAACAACTGAATAATCGTATTTTATTAACTAACGTTAAGAAAGATAAATAAATACTGTAACAAATATATTGCTCATTGCTAGTTCATGTTTGTTGATGCATTAATTAATGTTAACTATGGAACCATATTGTAAAGTGTTACCACTTTTTGAATCAGCAATGTAGATTACATCACAGAAAGCTAAATGTTTAAGTTTCAAAGGCATAACAAAGGATGTACAAGATCAATAAATGTAAGATTTTCATTTGGCAATGCAGCACTGGCCTGAAAGGACAATTGACAGTTCTGCAAACTGGCACAAAACTTCTCACATTGGTCCCGGGCCAACAGGCCATTCTTATTCTTGAGCCCTGTCACTGAAAACCTCCTCTGCAGCTCTGGAATCTGATTCTCCATTCTTCATATTTGAAGCAACACACTCAAGAACTAATGGTCTTTTGGCAGCATATTGTTGCACCATATAGAATCTGAATGCAAATAGACAACAATTCTTTGGCATGTTTCTCTTTTATATGGTAGTCGAAGGCATTTTATTTTATTTGTATTGCTTTATTTGGAGTTTATCTCAATGAACTAATGTTGGTGGAAAAGAGCTCTATGAAGATTCTCCATATTTGTGTCTCTTTATTTCAACAGAAGAAAGACATATATGTTTGGCACGATATGCATATGGTGAATTTTGGTGTTTTTATGTGGTGCCCTAAGAACACTTTAGAGGAAGTAAAAGTCTTACGTGTGCAAAACACACTCATGCATGAGACTTCCAACCCACAACTCTTGGCAAACATTACATGGGTACTTGTTGTTTAGCAGATTTATAATGTTCTTACATGTTCTAACATGCTACTGTGTCACTTTGATTCAGGTGAAGTGAGTAAGATGATCAATAACCATTTTCACACAAAGAGATGCATGTTCAGATCTGGCCTGCCTTATGTCCTGATTATATTCCTCTCTTGGCCTCTCAACATTTGTGTATTGAACAGTCAAGACCAGACAAGAAATACAAAAGACCAATGTGATTCTCGTGGAAGCTGTAAAGAATGTGTTCCAGTTATATTTGACCCTAAAACCATTACAGCTGAAAATCAGAATTTAATAATCCAGATAACAGTGATGAGAATAAGGGTGATAATTTATATGAAACTACATAGAAGTCACATTTTCTTTGTTTCATTTTACGTTGAAATGACATCTGCACAACCTGAATTTTCATGAGATTCACCAAAATTGATTGATTGAACCTGATTGAAAGCAAGAAAAACTTGAGCATTGATTTCCTTGTGTTTGGCTTCGGTAGGTCCAGCCTATGACGTGACCTTCACTGAAGTAAGGGATGATTCAGTGGTGGTGGAGTGGAAGGCTCCTGTCTACAACGGCGCCAGTGCCATCACTGGATACTTTGTTGAGAAATCCAAGAAAGGCTCGGATAACTGGAGCAAAGTCAACGAAAGTTCAGTCAACCACTGCTATCTTAAGGTATCGATTTGTGCTGTCAAACTCCCATTCTCAGATATTTTGTACTATTGCTTCAGCTAGACATGGGAGTATGAATACTGGTGTGTTTCTCTATGGCTTTATCAAACGTATTGTTTGAATGTTTGCAGGTCAAGGGTCTAGAAACAGGCGAGTCTTATGGGTTCCGTGTGCGGGCAGAGAACACCAATGGCATTGGGGTGGCTTCAACCCCCTCTGACCCTGTGTGCATCAAGGCACTGTCAGGTAAACCAGTACTGTAGAGCGGAAATACTTGTGAATGAATATGCGTACTGTAACGGGGCGACAGGGACGCGAGACGTGCAGATCCATTTGCAAAGCTTTATTCATTAGAATGGTCAGAAACAGGTGAGGGTCAGACAATGGCAACAGGTATATTGAGGGAAAGACACAAGAGTAATCCGATAAACAGGCATAGGTCGATCAACAGCCAACATAATCCAAACGGTTTGACAAGAGGGGTAATCCAATAAAATGAGCAATAGTCCAGGCGAGGTGCAAACACATTCCGAAACAGCAAGGCAAAGGGTTAATCCAAGATACACAGGCAGAAGATCAGAAAACAGGCAAGGCAACACTTTGACTAGGCTAAGGAAACTAGAACTAGAAACTTAAACAAGGACTGGGAACTGGTTCCGTAAAGTAGCTACGCTAAAAAGCATAAATACTTAAACAATACTCGGCAGTTTGAACAGGATCTGAGTATGTGTCTGTGTATGTAGTGTGTGTGTGATTGGTTCAGGTGAACGTGTGATTAGTGAAATTGAGGCCATTGCAGTGACATGTGAAAGTCTGTGTAGTGAGAGAGTCATAAAAATGGAAGAGCGACCTCTGGTGGTAATTGGACGGAAGTCCATGAACCGGATTCGTGACACGTACTTATTTGAATGGGAATATATGAATATGAAAACTTAATGGGAAAAACCTTACGGTCACACTAACATTAACAAACCATTAACTAGGACTTTTGCCTCAATTAATTTCTAATTTGCTGCTTATTAATAGTTAGTAAGGTAGTTGTTAAATTTAGGTACTAAATAATGTAGATTATGGTCATGCAGAATATGTGCTGTATAAATACTAATAAACAGCCTATATGTTAATAATAGGCATGTTAATAAGCAACTAGTTAATAGTGAGAATTGGTCCCGATAATATTGTTACCAAACTTACAATTAAAAAAACAATAACTTTCATCTGTTTATTCTAGAGCATGTATGCACATTGAATGAACTTGCATGGAAAGCATTTTTGTGCAATTTGAGTTTAGGAATCACAATTTATGAGACAATTAGTGTTGGATTTTTTTGCTGATTCGTGCATAGATTTTTTGTCGACATAGTTGATGGGGAGTACTTATAAAGAAAATTCTGTTACCAATTTCTCTCCAGCATGTCATTACAAACCCATGCGACTTTGGTTCATCTTCGAAACACAAAGTAAGATATTTTTTTATAAAACTGAGAGGTTTCTGTCCTTCCATTGGAAGTCCAGGTAACTAAAAACTTCATAAATGCATCATTAAACAAATCCATATGAATCAAGTGATTTTATCCAAGTCTTGTCAAGAGATATGATCACTTCGATGTACAGATTTAATTTTGGCTTTTATTTGTATCTAAACAGTGATTGACACATACATAGAGCACATCACATATGGTAAACGCGAAAGCTCAAATGTGTGCATGTGGTGCGTGAGAACCAATTAGGTTTGTTCTAGCAACACATGCACAAGCTTGCATGTTTACAATATGTGATGAGCTCTGTAAGCGCTAAATTATATATTTTCATCAAATAAAGCAACCTAATCTCTTCACAAAACTTGGATTAAATTGATAGATTCATAATTAGTTTGTATTATTTTATATATAGATTGTAAATATTTCATTTTTGGGTGAACTGTCCCTTTAAGGCAGTGGTTCTCAATGAGAGAATATTGGGGGAGCTGGAAGATATATTTTTGAAAGGGGTTTTGTTTACAGTAAAAGATTCACACCAAGACAAGATGAAACTAGCAAGTACTTGCAAAAGAAGGTGGTCTGCATCATTCTAACACATGCCAGTTTACACCAATGCAACTAGACGAGAAGAAGTATTGTTTCCATAGCAACTACTCTTTACTTCAGTTTTTCTGTCAGCTTTGTGTAGCACAGCTGTCGGACTTTTGAAAGCAACTTAGTGTCTAGCATCCAGAAACACGCTATAACATATACAGTATAATAATAGTACGAAGAAGAATGCTTCTTGTTTATTGATTGGCTGCTTTTTGCGATAATAATCTAATCAAAGTTTGAATGCCAAAGTGCTTTGCATTTTTGGAAAGTGTCAAGATTTTAACTTATTAGCATGGCCCAACTGGCCATGCTAATGCTTGTTTTTTTTCTCAATTGACTGCTTTTGTAAAATTACTGTATATTCTGACAAAATGTTTATTTGTTTATTTATTTATTTTGCATATAGATGTTTTTCTACTTTTTTCTTGAAGGCCATTAAAAGCGTGAAATGGGCTGGAAATTGAAAATGTCTGCTGTCTTTGATGTCACATCTCAGCATAGTGACTAGTCAGCCAATCAGCTTTTTGCTGCAGCACCAGGGTGGTTAGGAATTAGTCACATGACATGTGTGGCTCCAGATTGGCTCAAAAGTGCCAATGAGCAAAAATGGCAGATTTCGGTTCACATACTTCCGAGGGATGAACGGATGGCTTCCTTCAGTATAGACCTCATTGGCTTGGTGACTTTGGTCATCCATCCAGGGTGTTTCCCTGCCTTTGGCTAGAGATGATGTGATCCTCTATGGGAATATATGTTGGGTAGTTGCATTTCAGAGGTGGTTTTTTACTAGATTACAGTGGGGAAAAAAAGTATTTAGTCAGCCACCAATTGTGCAAGTTCTCCCACTTAAAAAGAAGTGAAGTGAAGTGAAGTGAAGTGACATGTGGCCAAGTATGGTAACCCATACTCGGAATTAGTGCTCTGCATTTATCCATCCAAAGTGCACACACACAGCAGTGAACACACACAAACCGTGAACACACACCCGGAGCAGTGGGCAGCCATTTATGCTGCGGCGCCCGGGGAGCAGTTGGGGGTTCGGTGCCTTGCTCAAGGGCACCTTGTTGTGGTATTGAAGGTGGGAGAGAGCGCTGTACATTCACTCCCCCCACCTACAATCCCTGCTGGTACGAGACTCGAACCCACAACCTTTTGGGTTATGAGTCCGCATTTTGTCTCTCATAGTTGAGGTATACCTATGATGAAAATTACAGGCCTCTCTTATCTTTTTAAGTGGGAGAACTTGCACAATTGGTGGCTGACTAAATACTTTTTTGCCCCACTGTATGAAGATTGGCTTTTTGGAATTGTGCACAGTAAAACCAGAAGTTGCAATCAGTTTCGTCAGTTGTAAATTCATATAGTCTTTAAGCACTTACAAAACCATCCAGAATCCAGAATAGCTGAATATCAGTGGATTTGAAAGAAGGGATCTGTATTTTGGATGAAATGTTCAGAGTTCAGAGCCGTGCGGGGCAGTGCGGATGGCACCATGGGAGGCGTTCTGAAGTGTCTTGGGGAGCAGCTGCCTGCACATTCACAGATAAGGAAAACGGGATGATCCAAGATGATTCATTCCGAGCAGCCTGAAAGGTTTTGAGGCTGATCAAATGCTGTCAGCCAGTAGAGTGCACTGTGGATTCGTCTGTCTATATAAAGTATGTGTGTATGAGATGTTCTCCTTGTAGCAGGACCGAGAAGGGAAACCCTGTGTAGGCTGATTGGTCATAATCAGGGCTACATTGAATCTGCGCCTGCAGAACTCCACAGATGTCTGCAACAATCATTCCCAAACTTCTTCACACCTTGCATGTTCATTAATTTTTATTTCACTTTCTTTTATTTTTAAAACAATTTGAATATGCATTAACACCATTACACTGAAAATGGTAGCATCTAAATGAACTGGTTTTATTCAAATTTAAAAATATTATCCACCTATATACATTGATCTATACCAACTAATTAATGAAAGTAATCTTTATGCATTCAATCAGGTAGAAATATCTCTTTAAGGTCACAACTGCAAGTTACCACTTTTTACAGTGTACAGTAATAACTCATCTAAAATGAAAATACTGATATTATTTTCTTGGTTTAAACTTATTCCGGAATAGTATAAAACTTTATTCGCTGTGTGGAAAAAGTAAATTTCCAGAATATCCTGGCCACTTTCCAAATTATGAAAATGAATTAAAACTAGGTTTGTAAAGCCACAAAATTAGACTTAGTATAAAAGTGGTGCACACAATATTATATAATATATCATCCTTAATAAAATATATAATACGTCTTCTGAAGCCATTCTATAGCTTTGTGTGACAAACAGACAGATATATAAGCTGATTTTTACGGAAAATGAAATAGGGTGCTCCATCAGGTTTGATTTCAATGACATTTGGTTACAAGACCAACATTGGAACCAATGGCATTTGACGTCAATGGTGTTAAATGTCATCAACGGGACGTTTTTATATGTGACATTTGCAGGGATGGGCAAAGATACATCAAAAATGTATTTTAAAATAAAATACCAAATACCTTAATTTTAAGTGTATCAAAATAAACTACAAAATACAGCAGCCACACCAAGTATCAAAATAAACTACTGTATTTTTGTATTTTAAAAATACAAAAAAATACTTTTACAAGGGAGCATGAAATGTCTTCACAAACCTTCCATCAATTGATGTTTGTGAACAAGTGAACAATGTTTGATAGCAACAGCTTTTCTCTGCCCGAGTCATGCAATAAATCTGACATATGCAATCAGTTAACAGATCAAATATTCACATATCCCAGATGAAGGTTAGTTTCAAGTAACCAACAGTTTATTGTTTAACAGTTTGTGAATGACTCGTAATTGTATCCTAATTTAGTTACATGGTGTTTGGTAACAAAGGGCCTACTTTGCATCAGCAGCACTGACTCAATGACAAACAAGTCATTCATAAGAAGACAACTGATGGCACCTGTATTC